GCGCCCCTCTCAGCCCCGGGGGCTCGTCGCCCGCCTTGTTCTCGTTCTGCCCCCGCCGCAGCTGCCTGCGCTCCCGCAGCATGCGGGGGCCTGGAGGTAAGGGGCGCTTCCGAAGGGCGCGGGGGGCCGTGTCTCGGGCTGAGGCCAAGGGAACCGGCTGGGGGTCTCGGGGAGGGGGGGGGGGGGTGATCTCGGGAAGGTGGAGGAGAGGAGACGCCAGCTCCAGCTCTGGGAGAGTGGGTTTGGGGGCACCTTCCTCCGGGGTGTGGGGCTGGCGCTCCCCGCCCCTGTGCTCCTGTGCAGCGGAGAGCCGGGCTTCCTCATGGGCGAGAAGCCTTTTGCAGCTCATGCCGTACCGGTTTCAGATGGTGCAGCACACGGCCTCGTTGGAGCTCTCTGCGGTTCCTCGGCCTTTTTCCTGTGCTGATCCTGGGAGTGCTCTGTGCTCTGCTCAGGCACCTTAGCCTCTGGCTGTACTGAAGCTCCTGCATCCTTCTGTTCTGTATGTTCCTCTCTGTTAATTTCCACTCTGGCCCGAGGCTGACTTCATGTAGGTTTCCTCCCTCTTGTCTCCTGCCAGGTGGTGAGAAGATGGCTTCCCCAGGTGCCCCAGGGACCCGCATGACATCCACAGTCAGTATCAACATTTCTACGCCTTCCTTCTACAACCCCCAGAAGAAGTTTGCGCCTGTGGTTGCCCCTAAACCCAAGGTGAACCCCTTCAAGGCTGGGGGTGCGTCAGAGTTGTCGTCACTGCCTTCTGGAGCTGCTGCCCAGCGTGCTCAGATTGGGAAAGTGGGGGAGATCCCATCAGCATCCATGTCCCTGCTGACAGAAGGTAGGTGGGGGCTGGCATGGCAGATGTGAGTATGCCTTTCTAAATTCTCAGGGTGTGAGGTCTGTAACTGGGCTAAACATGAGAACAGGGGCGTAACTGCTGGAAATGATGGATACGCTTGCTGTAGAGGTGGGCAGGCTCCAGAATGAGGTAAAACCGTTGTAAAGGGACCTCAGAGTACATAGTATCTCCATTAGGAAAGGAGGCAGGAAGGCAATCCTGCTATGCACTGATGCTGGAGGAATGCAATGGGTTTTTAATAGTATTCCCTGAGTGCATAATTGTGTAACTGCAGTTTCTGGCCAGCTGTGTCTGAGAGCAAGTATGTTGCAGGGAAGTTGACCCTGATGGTGGTGAGTCATGCTGTTCTGCTTCTTAACTCATCTCAGCCCAAGCTGGTCGTCTCTGACTGCAGAGATCCTTCTCTACACTTGTACTCTGCATTTGCCATCTTTGCTGCTGGAGACAGGGAGGAAGAAACAATTGCAGGAAAAAATGGTGGGAGCTATTGTAAATGGGAAGTGAGACTAACAGTTTGTATGGCTTGTAGAGTTCTGTGGTTTTTCCCAGTGTTTTGGGTTGGGTATGTTTTCCTGTGCAGAGTGACTTCTTGCTCTAGTGTGGGGTTGAGTGGTCTTTTGCCCCTCAATGGCTAAGATCCTTTCAATAAACCAAAGGGCAAGTGTATACAAACTTGATCTGAAACCATAGTTTCAAGTTAAAAATACTAGCCTGGTATCACTTGCCCCCAGACAGAATTTCTGTGGCACAAGAAGGCTTGGAAGTGCTGCATCCCAGTGCAGCTAATCAAATGGTTAATATGATTTTTGGCTTTTGTTTTAAGAAAGGGTAGTATCTTAAATTAGAGAAGTCCTTATAAAGTCATTCAATGACAGCTGGATATAAAGATGAGACAATCTGATTAGTGATGTTAAAAGTTGCACACGGAGTAGTAGGAGTGAAAAACGATGGTCTTTCACTCTGCTTTGGGTTGGGGCTAGATAAGAAGAGAGGTGGGTATCCAGAAGAAGGGATGTGGAAGTTACACCTCCTTGTCTTCAGTGTTCTTTGCTGCTTAGATTAGAAGAGGACAGCCTCTCCCATGCATGGTGGAGGGAAGAAGATTCACATTTATTGACTGTGTTTTAGTAGAAAAGGCCTCATGTTGCCTGTTATGTGTTTTCAGGAACTATGAATAGGTGGAAGCAATGGGGTTTTCTTCTGAGAGACTGAGGCATTCTGGTGCTTTTCAGCTTGCTTAAAAGGGTTCTGCAAAAATTCATGTTCTAACCTGTATTGGGTTTGGGGACATTGTAGTTTCCAAAAGAAAAGCTGTTTTTATCTCCCAGAAAAATAAAGCAGCTTCAAAGATTCCTCATGTGCATAAGGGGTAGTTGGTCCAGTTTGCTTTTTTTCATCCCACATTTGTTTCTCGTAGTGCTTACTAGGTAGCTGTGAGGTGCCAGCTTATTTGCTTGTAATAATGCAGGCTCTTTAGGATCCTGAGTTGTCCACTGGCATTCATTCTAATGCTGCTCTGTATTCAACAATCTGAGCCAGTTACTGGCAAGAGAAGCGTATGTTAGGGACCAAAGAATGAGAGGAGGAGAGGGAAAGGGCATAATAAGACATTTCCCTATCCACAATAACTATTCCCAGTGACTAATTGCAATATCTACTGAGGAAAGTTTATGTGATAGCAAATAGCTTTGGACAAGGTGAAAGCCAGCCTGTGGAGTTCAGTTGTCCTTGATGGGTGCTGGAATCCTCTGGGTACTGGGGACCTGCTTGCTGTAGTACCTTCAAGACCTCTGCTGGGGTTTGTACTGGCCAAGGCTGAACTTACCTGAACTTGGTTTTGTGCTCATTCTTTCAGCAGAGCTGCCGCTGCCACCTCCTCCCCCTCCTGGAGAGGAGGAGAATTTCTCCTCAAACTGTGCTTTTCCCCCACCCCCACCACCCTTTGAGGAGCCTTTTCCACCAGCCCCAGAAGAAGTTCTTCCTTCTCCTCCTCCTCCTCCTCCTCCGCCAATGTTTGATGAAGGGCCTGTGAGCAAGGTACCTGCCCCACAGGTGAGTGAGGTCGAGGGAAGCACATGTTTTTTTTGTGATGCTCCATGAGCTGGGACAGCTTCTTGCTCCTCTCTGAATTCAGCAGCAGGAAGCCTTGAGACGTGGGAAAGCAGAAAATGCTGCTGTCTCCTGGATTGATGTAGGTCAGGGTCAACTGGCCAGGCTACAGCTCTGCAGGTGAAGAACCTCCAGTACCTGGTGGACAGTGAGCCAGCAATGTGCCCCTGTGGCAGTAAAGGCCACCCATGTGCTGGGCTGTGTTGGTGAGAGTGTGGCCTCTCTCTGGTGCTGGTGAGGCTGCACCTTGGAGGGCTCCTTCCAGTTGGACTCCTCAGTATAATAACCCCAGAGGAATACTGAGCTAGGTGCGATCCAGCAAAGGGTCAGAGCAAGCACTGGGGGTTGGAGCACATGATGTGAGAGCTGGGGTTGTTCAGCCTGCAGAAGAGAAGGCCAAGGCAGGCCTCCAGGTTCAGTCTGTATTACCCAAAGGAGGGCTGGAGAGGAGACATGGGGACACAGCAAGAGACAATGGACACCAGTTGCAGCAAGGGGATTCTGGCTGGACAGAAGAAAAGCCCGTTCCCCTCCAGGGGTGGCTCAGCACTGGTACAGGTGCCCAGAATGGCTGGGGAATCTGTTTCTCTGGGGATGCTCAGAAGTCACCTGGACAAGGCCCTGAGCAACCTGTTCTAGCTTGAGAGTTAGCTCTGCTGTGAGCAGGGCACTGGACTAGAAGCACCCAGCTGCCTTTTTCCACCTAAATCTGTCTTTGATGTTCTTTGGGCTGTGCATCTTCCCACTGGTCATAGACCTTGGAGACTGTGCCCTGTTCGTCCTCACCAGCTTGCTATCCACTGGAACTGAGGAGCAGATCTGTACCACAGTCCAAAGTGCTATTGTAAGGGGATACATCCAGTTCTCTGGCTGCTCCTGTAATGTGCTCTGCTCCCTCTTTCCTCATGGATGGTGGTATAGGTACGTGGCAAGATGAACAGCATTGATCTTGAGATTGACTCACTGTCCGTAATGTTGGATGACATGGAGAAGAATGACCCCTTCAAGTCCCGGGTGAGCTCTCCAGAATGCTGCAGGTGGAAGGAGAGATGACTCCTTTGCTGAATGGAGGTAGTGAGAAGGGTGCTTCCGAAGAGTAAAATGTCTGGATAAACCATAATGTGGAAGCATACATGAGGGACCAGAAAGCAAAGATCTTGCAGCTTGTCAGGACTGCTAAATATGTAACAGTGTGGGGACCCCTAGCATTGTGGTCTGGGATAGCTGCTGGCTTACTGCTATAGACAGCATATTTTCTCTTCCACCTAACTGATAACTGCCTGTTTCTGCTGCTTCCCTTTACAGGTATCTCCAGGATCCACAGGTTCTTTGGAGAAACCATCAGCCCCAAAAGCCCACGTGGAAATACCGTCTGCACCCAGAGATACTCCTCATTCCTTTCCTTCCAAATTTTCTCCAAAGCCCATCAGAAGCGTACCTTTCAAGCCCCCTGGAGTGGATTTGACTCCTGCCCCAACCCCATGGGCAGCCCCACAGCAACGCAAGGAGCCCTTAGCACCAGTCCCTCCTCCTCCTTCTCTTCCTCCTGCTCAGCCCACCCCTAAATTCACACCAACCCCTGTTGCTGGCTCTCCAAAGTCTGGGTCCAGATCAGGTGCCAGTGTTCCCACGGGTCCCTCAAACTCTACAAGACACCCTACGTCCCTTCAGACTCAGTTCACAGCCCCTTCACCTTCAGGTCCCACCTCCCGGCCACAGGCTCCCAGTTTCACCTATGCCCAGCAGAAGGAAAGACCCCAAGTGCAGGAGAAGCCACGTCCCACAGAACAACCTGTTGCTGCAAAAGACACGGTAAGGGGCAGAGCCAGGGGCCCGTGTCTCTGGACAGGAACAGCATCACAGAGTGAAGCTGGAGAATGAGGAGGGAGGGTTTGTCCCTGGGAGGCTAGGGGAAGACATGACCCATCTGGGAGATGTAACTAGAAACTGTGGTGGAGAGGGATAGACTTCATGTAAAGGTGGAAAGAGGCAAGCGTAGTGGATGGCAGACTGTTCCCTAGAGACAGAGAAGAGTAAAGGTGAGAGAAGTAGGTTTGTCGAGGACAGGGTAGGAGGGAATCTGTAGGTGTCCTTTGGGATTGAATGTTTCGTCTTCCTGCAGCATAGACCCACAGGCTCTAGTGCAGACCCACCTCGGGGAAACTCCTGTCTGACCATGAAGGAGGTAGAAGAGCTGGAGATGTTGACCCAGAAACTAATGAAGGATATGGAGCATCCGCCCCCAGCAGAGGCTGCTACTTCTGGTGCGTTCTCTCAGTAGACAGCAGTAGGACTAAGTCTGTGGTGGGTTTTCATCTCCTCTAGCCCCTTTCTTCTTCTGTTGACAGAACTCTGTGGCTTCTGCCGGAAGCCCCTGTCACGGACCCAGCCAGCTGTGAGGGCACTGGACTGCCTTTTCCACGTGGAATGCTTCACCTGCTTCAAATGTGAGAAGCAGCTGCAGGGGCAGCAGTTCTATAACGTGGATGAGAAGCCCTTCTGTGAGGACTGCTATGCTGTGAGTCACTAGGGTGAAGGCTGCTGGGAGAGAGCTGAGCTTGCTGTGGTTGCACTCTCTTGGTTTCCCTTCCTCCTTCCATCTTGCCTGTCTGTGGTGTGGCCTCCCAGGGGTGGGGGATCGGATTCATGTGTATTTCCTGTTTTCTCTGGGCTCAGGGGACCTTGGAAAAGTGCAGTGTCTGCAAGCAGACCATCACAGACCGGATGCTGAAGGCCACTGGTAACTCCTACCATCCCAAATGCTTCACTTGCGTCGTGTGCCACACCCCTCTTGAGGGAGCCTCTTTTATTGTGGACCAGGCCAACCAGCCTCACTGTGTGGATGACTACCACAGGTATGGAGAGAACAAGTGCCTGTGGTGCTTGAAAGAAGGCAGATTGCCTCACACTGTTGAATTTTGCTGCAGTGAAGGGTTGGGTTGCCCAGGTGATCTCTTGGGCATGAAGTTAAAAACGAGTCAGCCATGTACCTTGTTAGTACTAAAGGTCTTTTCCCACCAAACGTCTTTGTGATGTATTATTCCTCTGTTGCTAATGCTGTTCTGTGGGACTGAGGAGCTTGCCCTGACTGCCACGTGGTGGCTGTGCTCTCCCCTGTGTTGCAGGAAGTACGCCCCGCGCTGCTCCGTCTGCCGCGAGCCCATCATGCCAGAGCCTGGGAAGGACGAGACCGTGCGCGTGGTGGCACTGGAGAAAAACTTCCACATGAAATGCTACAAGTGTGAGGTAAGTCTGGCCTCACTCGTCCTATCTCTCCCATGCCCACCACCAGCAACTGGACACCTTTGTTGTCCATCCTGACCAAACACTAAGGTTGTTTTGAATGAATCTGGAGCATTTTTGAAGCAGGTTCAGAAAAAGATGAGACAGTCACAAACGACAGGTCTATGAAGAGGGACTGTGCAGGGTTGTAGCCTCTAACATCCCTAATAAAGCAGCTGTGTGTGCTGGGGGAGCACACTGGGAACACAGGAAGGACTTGCATTTCCCTCAAAATGGTCCTTTCCCTTAGCACCACTGGAGACAGAGCAGTGGGCTGGCCACTATTATGCTGATCCAGTGGAGCATTTCTTACTCCCTGAATGCATTTACCCTGCTGTTGGCTGTTGGTGAGCTCCCTCCCTCCTTTCTTTCCCTGTTTAGGACTGTGGGAAGCCCTTGTCCATTGAAGCAGATGAGAACGGGTGCTTTCCACTGGATGGGCACGTGCTGTGTATCAAATGCCACACCATTCGTGCCAAAGCAGCATGCTGATGAGCTTGGAGTGGGCATATCCTTGAGACCCCTGCACTCAATACTCTTCCCCTTCCCACCATTGTCCTACCCCTCTGCCTGACAAGGCAGATTGCTGCCAATGGAGACCATGCCAGCACAGTTCTTTACTCACATAGGATTCACCGCTCCTAGACTTCACTCTGCACATCAGCGAGACAGGACTTCTGCTGTCACCTCTTCCTGGCCACAGTGTACTCCAGGCTGGGGGCTATGGTGGAGGTGAGCGACCAATCTCACCTTCAAGACTCTGGAAGAGAAAGACCAGACCTCCACCACCGCCTGCTGGAAGCAGGAAGAACAGCCTGGTGTCAGGTGTTGGGAAGAGCTGAGCGTTCTCCTCCCACGGAGTCAGGAACAGTGATATTTGACTTTAGAAGGTGGAAGCCTCCATCTCAGCACCACTTCAGTCTTTGATTTTTTTTTTTTCTTTTGTCTTCAGAATGTCTTCTCCTGCCCCCTTCCTCCCTCCTGGGTTAGAGTATAGAGGCAGAATATATTGGGACTCTCTGTTACTGTTGCTGGAAAAAGCTAACCTACTATAGCTTTTCTGTCTCTAATGGATTTTAATGGCTGACTGTCTAGTCACATTTTTTTTTTTCCTTAGCCAGATTAAGCTGGCAAGGTTTGGAATCCTACTCTGTTCTGAATTTGGAAACTTTTTAACTCAAAAAATCTTTCCCTCCCCCAAATGACTCGATTCCCAGTGTGGTTTCTGAACAGCCAGGCTGGGCACCAGAGTAGCAAAGCAGTCCAAAGAATGCATGTTTACAAATAAAGACCATGGTAAGAGTGGGCAGCACGTGGTGAGGAGGCGCCTCAGTGTGTGGATGAGGATTCAGAAGACTGAGAAACATCTCCCTGTTCCAGCAGGGATTCTTCCACTGCTGTCAGTGAGAGCTGCAGTGTAATTGCATTTTCTGTCTGGCTCCAAGTGTTACTGCACTGAGCCCCGTTTCCTGAAAGAGAATCTCTCAAACTGAGCAAATCTGTTGAGTAAGTACACTGTCCAGCCACTGTTTGCATTCAATAAAATGTGGGGTTTTTCCATTAATGTGTCTGCTGTGTTTGTTCGACTACCCATAAGAATTGCTGTCTCAGGCAGCAGAGGATGTACAGTTGCTGTCCCACTTAGCCTCCAGAGATGGTGAGGCTGCAAATGCCCTTTCCCTCCTCACCTTTTGATCTCCTTTTGAAACTGTTTCCTATTTTTCTGTGCCTGAGGAGTAGCTCTCTTTTAAAGCAGTGGAATTTCAGTACAGCAAGGTTGTAGTCTGCCTGATGTGTCACTGGGATGTGGGTTGTTATAACCCATTTGCAGCAGACCAGAACAGTGATCAGTTTGCTTTCTTTAACTATTGCTCCTCAAAGTGTTTGTGTTTGATGTTTATGGTTTTAAGCGTGGTACTGTCTCGGTCACTGAGGGTGAAACTCTTTGTAGTGAGCAGCAATGCTTCTACACTTCAAAGGCAGGAAACCCACTCTGTCTTGCCAGTTTGGGGGAAGCCTTTAATGACTCCTTGGAAGTTGCTTCAGTAAATGCTTTGACGTTTCCTGTAGGATGAACGAAGAGTAAAACAAACTGTACATTGCTTACTTTTTCTTTTCTTAGACAAGTTCTTGCTGTTTTGTAGGCATTATGGGGTTTTTTTCCTAGATATGTGATAAAGGTTCAGGCCCACAAACACCAAGGAGCACAGAGGAAAGAAACAACAACAGGGGAGAAGAGCACTCTTAACCTAGCTCCTCCCAGAGCTAGCAGAGGGCTGTAGCCCCTGGGTATGAAACCCAGACACCAGTGGAGTCAATGGAAAAGGCTGTCTGGATCACCTTGCAGATTAATGGGAAGTTAGTCCCTCTGGGAGGCATGGGGTACAGGGGGAAGAGCTTGGTGACTGTACAACACTTGTTATGGTTGTAACAATGTGTAGGGGCAGGATCAAAGGCAGAAAAAGAGAGGAAGCAGCATGGGAAAAGGGCACAGAAGGGGCTGGCTGCACATGCAGAGTACACTTGACTGGGAACATCCTGTGTGTCAACAGTGCAATTTGTCCTGTCTTCGTACTAAACTTTACTTTTTGCATGTGGAGCTCTAATTACCATCAAGTGGAAATACCTGAGTACATGTATGCTGTGTGTACGTCCGTGTGCTGTCACTAGCAAAATCAGGTTGTGGTTGCTGATGAGTGAGTAGGGTAAGGGACTGGGGAGCCAGGAGTTGGTGTCACGTAACGCTGTCCTGTGTGCAGTGACAATCTTTCTGTTGGGTCAAGGGGTATGACTCTGCCAGGGGGGCAGGGAAGGCCCTCCTAGTAAGTCACAAGGCTCAGAAAGGACTCCCTTGCTTTCTAGACTTCCCATCAGGAAGGAGCCTAGGTGTGGCCCATTGCCTTATCCAGAGAGTGGGAATTCTCCTCCTCAGAAATAGAGGATTCTAAAGACTAATTTTATACCTATTGACTAGGTGGGACTGGGTTATATCTTGTGTGCTGAATGGCTTCCAGCAGTCTAAGAGGGGCAGGGAGGAAGGCCACTGCTCACTACAGATGGAGACTCCTTCTCTGGTTTTCTTGGTACAACCTCTGGCAATGAAGCCTTGACTCCAGCTTTGTTGATGCAACCTCTGCTTATAAGACCTTCACCTCATCCCAGCAGTTGCAGTAATTGGGTCAGGTCATACAACTTCCAACATCTCAGCTGTGTCTTGGCCAGATAAGCAAACTGCTTGTCCTTCCACCCCTGCTCATTGTTAGGTAAACAAAAAGTGCACTAAACTAGCCCACGTTACGGCTGCTCCAAGATAAGCACACTAACTGGCCTGTATTGCTGTTACACAGCAAGCTGTGGGGGGCAAAGGGGGGAGCCAGCTGCTGTATAGACAGTAGAGGGATACAGAGTATAGATGTACGTGTTTCCTCCCCGACAGGTTCATCCTGATCAGCCAGAGAAGGGACAGGAGGCAAGTTTGTGCTGTGCTTGCATGAGTGCTGGGGTTTCTGCCTCAGGCCAGCCATGGACAGCGTGTGTGCATACAGAGACACGCACACACTGCATCCATTGCCTGCTGCCTGCCCGAGTGCCTACTGGGAACACGTGCTGGGGCTTGCTGCCGGCTGGTTCTTGGGGCACGGA